CATTTTAATTATGTGTGTTTGTGTAGAATGGACAATAATTATTAACTGTCTGTCTCCTAAAGTGTGAGGAGACAAGCAAGTTGGAGAGGAGACCACAACCCAAAGAACAAAATCTTGAAGACCAATGAAGAAATCAATAATTCTACATCATGATCATATGGCATGCCATCATACTGTAATAGTATGGTCATAAAATTTATAATACAGATTAAATTCCTAATTCATTTAAAAAGGTACTTTGATGATTTACTTTGTTCCATCAAATATTCACCCAACTGCAGCTAAATTAGTATGAAATGTATAAACAATATTAGTATAAACTGTTCTAGTTTTGAATGTGAATATTTGGTGATTTCATGCAATGTATCCTAAATTACTATAGAAAATCTAACATTACTTGACATCTGAGGCAATAATTTAAAAACTAACACAATTACACAAAAAGTTAAAATGTTTATTATAAGCCAAAGGCTATAAAAGGTTAACGTAGTAAGTAATTTGGTAAAATAAAAAGGTTATATAACAAGTTAAAGTGATATAAGGTTATTAGAATATTACAAATATAATTATCATGCTAATATTAGTATTTAGTAATCACAATTGTTAAGATTTTTATAAATTTGAATTTTTAGGAATATTTAAATTTATCATTTGCCTTTCTCGTACAACTGTTAAGAATAACTCATGCATAGTTTACCAACATACTTCCTATCTGCTTAGTTTAATGGAACATCAAAATTAACATTATATTAAAAGACTGGTGGTGGTAGAGTTAAGAATTAGACCTAATATTTTCTAGGAAACAAGATAAAAACTTTTTTAGCTTTATAAAGCAAACAAAAAAGACTGATACTTTTATATATTGTAGTCCATCACTTATTCACGTAGGTCTTAACAAGCAATTTCAGTATATTTTATTTTGATGTGCTTTACTAGTAAAATTCATCCACTTACAAAAATAAGTTTATGGCCTATTGTTTAATATATTCAGTTTGCATTATGAAATTAACTTAAAACTCACCCTGACAGAAATGGGTATCAATGGTCTTGAAACCAGAGCTTTTCTACAATTCTAGGGCTGTGAAATTGATGGAGAAAGAGCGGAATCCTCCGCAGAAACAAGCTAAAGCTGAAAGAGAAAAACCTTTACTAGCTCCTCACA